TTTCACCATGTTGACCAGGATGGTCTCGATCTCTTGACCTCGTGATCCACCCGCCTCGGCCTCCCAAAGTGCTGGGATTACAGGCTTGAGCCACCGCGCCCGGCCTGTCAAACCACATCTCTACTAAAAAATACAAAAAGTTAGCCAGGCGTGGTGGCTGGCACCTATTATCTCAGTTGTTCGAGAGGCTGAGGTAGAAGAATCGCTTGAACCCACTAGGCAGAGGTTACAGTGAGCCGAGATCATGTCACTGCACTCCAGCCTGGGCAACAGAGTGAGACTGTATCTCAAAAAATAATAATAATAATAATTCTACTGTAATTATGTTGCTCTCTATGTGTTTCTTCTATTCTGTCAGTATTTGCTTTATATATTTGTAATCCTAATGTGAAACACACACACACACACACACACACACAGACGTCTACACACATATGTATATACAAATTTAACATAGGTTCCCAGTTAATGAATCTATTATTTTTTGATGTCTTTCTTTGTCTCTTTGGAGTTTCAATGTCAAGTGCGTTTTATAAACTATGAGTTTTTGACTTAAGATTTGCTTGTGTAATAGTATTTTGAGCTCTGCTGCTCCCATTTGATTAATACTTGCATGAAATGTCTGCTTCCATCTTGCTACTTTGAGTCTTTTTTTTCTTTTTAATCATTAGACTTCAACTGACTCTTGTAGAGAGGCAAGTTGGATCTTGATATTTAAAGTTTTCTAATAGGCTGGGTGTGGTCACTCTTCCTGCAATTTTAGCACTTTGGGAGGCTGAGGTGAGTGGATCACCTGACTTGAGGGGTTCCAGACCATCCTGGCCAACATTGTGAAATCCAATCTCTACTAAAAATACAAAAATTAGCTGGGTGTGGTGGCAGATGCCGGTAATCCCAGCTACCTGGGAGTCTGAGGCAGGAGAATTGCTTGAACCCTGGAGGTAGAGGTTGCAGTGAGCTGAGATAGCACCATTGCACTCTAGCCTGGGCGACAAGAGCGACACTCTGTCTCAAAAAAAAAAAACAACAAATTTTAATCTATTAAAAGCATATATGTTGATCTGAAAGTTAATTTTCTAGGCTAGGCATGGTAGCTCATACCTTTAATCCCAGCAGTTTGAGATGCTAAAGTAGGCGGATCATGAGGTCAAGAGATTGAGACCATCCTGGCCAACATGGTGAAACCTCGTCTCTACTATAAATACAAACATTAGCTGGGCATGGTGGTGCACACTTGTAGTCCCAGCTACTCGGGATGCTGAGGCAGGAGAATTGCTTCAACTTGGGAGGTGGATGTTGCAGTGAGCCACGATAGCGCCACTGCATTCCAGCCTGGCAACAGAGAGACTCAATCTGAAAAAAAAAAAAAAAAAAAAGTAATTTTCTATATATTTAAATAATTTCCTGAAAGAGGAGGGCTTACTTTTATTTTATTACCTATTCTATTTGATTCTTACATCTTCGTCCTTCATTTTCTCTTTCTGACTTTGTTTCTTTTTGATTTTTGTATTGATATGCTTTTCTTATTTTTCTTTTGCATATCTATACAAAAAAATTTTTTTTTTTTTTTGGGTAGTACTTTGGGGATTACGTGAAACCTCTAAAAATACAAAAACATATTTTAATCTGGTAAAGTTTTAACTTCAGTTGGATAAAAAATTCTTCCTTATTACATCTGCCCTTAAATTTGTCGTTGATGTCACCAAGGGTATTTATTTATGTTGCATAGTGATTAACAGGTGTTTATAATAATTCCTATGCTTTTATCTCTCAAATGTTAAAGAATAATTAAAAATGTTTTCTGCACCATGTGAATAATGTTAGAAATTCAATTTTTGGTATGTGCATTTCTTTTCTAGAAAATAATGTATTTTTATATGATTAGGTGTTGTTTTCTTGAATCATGTTATTTTCAGTGGTAAGAACTGCTTTCAGCATCTTTCCTATGAAGGGACATATGCAATGCCAATATATTTTTTAAGAATTTGGTTATTTTGAAAGTTTTATTTATTTATTTTTTATTTTAGGCAGGATAGATTTGCTAATGGTATTATTATTTATTTTTTTTGACTTTGACAATATCACATAGTTCTCTTCTGGCCTGCAAATTTTTTGTTGACAATTCACTGGTTATCTCATAAGACTATATTTGCTAATGACATGTCACTTTTATCTTTCAGCACTCAAGTATCTCTTTTTGTCTGTAACTATTGAAAATTGTAACTATTGTGATTATAGGGCCAGGTACAGTGGCTCACGCCTGTAATCCAAACACTTTGGGTGGCCAAGGCAGATGGATCACAAGGTCAGGAGTTCAACACCAGTCTGGTCAATATGGTGAAACCCCGTCTCTATGAAAGAAATACAAAAATTAGCCAGGCATGGTGGAGGGCGCCTGTAGTCCCAGCTACCTGGGAGGCTGAGGCAGGAGAATTGCTTGAACACGGGAGGCAGAGGTTGCAGTGAGCCAAGATCATGCCACTGTACTCCAGCCTAGGCAACAGAGTAAGACTCATCTCAAAAAAAAAAAAAGAAATTGTGATTATAAACATGTTTTTGTTACCAATGTCTTTGTATGTATCCTAATTTGCTTTTGAGCTTTTTCATGTTTGCACCATTTTTTCTTAATTTTAGAATTGATATTTCTTTTTGTATTTTTTTACCACCACAATTTAAATATTTTTGTTTTATCATTTTTCTGATTTTCAATATTCGTCTGTTTTCCTGTTTCAATCATTATTATTCAATTTTTTTTTTTTTTTTTTTTTTTTTTTTTTTTTTTTTTTTTTTTTTTTTTTTTTTTTTTTTTTTTTTTNTTACCCAGGCTGGAGTGCAATGGCGCGATCTCGGCTCACCGCAACCTCCGCCTCCTGGGTTCAGGCAATTCTCCTGCCTCAGCCTCCTGAGTAGCTGGGATTATAGGCACGTACCACCATGCCCAGCTAATTTTTTGTATTTTTAGTAGAGACAGGGTTTCACTGTGTTGACCAGGATGGTCTCGATCTCTTGACCTCGTGATCCACCTGCCTCGCCTCCCAAAGTGCTGGGATTACAGGCTTGAGCCACCGCGCCCGGCCTATTATTCAATTTTTAAAATTAGTATATACATTTTTAATGATTTCTTTCTGAAAATTTTATAGTATTTTTGATGAGATTATATTGCCCCATTTATAGATTGTACTGTTTCAGATTTGGACATTTAAAAAGGCCACCTGTCACAAAATTTACAATGTAGCTTTGTCCTGGCATAGTCAGAAAACAGTGGTCTTGGCTGGAGATTATGGGAATCTCTTAAACATCATCTTCAGGTTTGTCCTGACTGAAATTTTGTGTTTACTTCTAGCTAAAGGAGATTATTTATGTTTCTTCTGAAAAGTAAGTAATCGCTTGTGACACCTGCTCTCTCTCTGTAGCACTGTAGTGCTCTTCTGCAGTGGCCTAATTTGTTATTTTATTTCTTTTCAGTTGTATGTTTTTATTTTGCCCAAAATCTTTGGTCTTAGCAGACTCAAACTCTCATTTCAAAGTATATTACCATTTCTTTCAGCACTTTATGTCATGGGAGACAGAAACAGTGTGAAAAGGCCCGTCAAAGCCAGAAATTAAGTTGTATGTGCCAATATTTTTCTCATCTTTTAAGAAAGAAACCAGAAGTTGACAACTTACTTGTAAAGAAACTATGTAATATTAGGAAGCAGAAAGTGTTGTGTTTGGTAAATGTCAGAAACTTTTTATTTTTTCTGTGTGGATTTTTGCATTGAACTCACTTTACGCACTGCACACACTTAACTCATAAATTATCTAATTATCTACATATGTATTTTGGTTTGTATGCTTTGTTTTTTTTTTTGTGGGTGCGACAGTTTTGCTCTTGTTGCCCAGGGTGGAATGCAATGGCACGATCTTGGAGTACAACAACCTCCTCCTGGGTTTAAGCAATTGATTCTCCTGCCTTAGCCTCCTGAGTAGCCGGGATTACAGGCATGTACCACCACACCTGGCTAATTTTGTATTTTTAGTAGAGACAAGGGTTCTCCATGTTGGTCAGGCCGGTCTCAAACTCCTGATCTCAGGTGATCTGACCATCTTGGTCTCCCAAAATGCTGGGATTACAGATGTGAGCCACCATACCCAGCTGGTATGTATGTTTTTATAACATTTACATATCTCTGAAGTACTTAGGACCTGTGGTATATTGCAATGTCATCTCATTTGTGTGGATTGAATAATTTTATTGGTTAGATTCGTAAAATATATTTATCAGAGTCTAATAAGTGGACTAATTTGTTTTTATTTCTTTTCAGTTATATGTTCCTATTTTGCTCAAGACCTTTGGCCAGAGCAGGGCATAGAAGATTTTTTTCAAAAAGTGATATTGAGAAGACATGAAAAATGTGAACATGAGAATTTGCAGTTAAAAATTTGTTGCACCAGCCGGGTGCGGTGGCTCACGCCTGTAATCCCAGCACTTTGGGAGGCTGAGGCGGGTGGATCACGAGGTCAAGAGATCGAGACCATCCTGGTCAACATGGTGAAACTCCGTCTCTACTAAAACTACAAAAAATTAGCTGGGCATGGTGGCGCGTGCCTGTAATCCCAGCTACTCAGGAGGCTGAGGCAGGAGAATTGCCTG